TCAGGAATATACATCATGTGTAGGCTCTGAACTTCATGGGCAATGTCTTCTTCTTTGTCTTGGATTGGTGGTGGACAGAGAGCACCTCTTGTGTACCTGAAACATCACTCAAACTCCAGCAAGAATTAGACCACACAATAGGACCAGACCTTGATAACTCACCAAGTCTGATCCATCATGTTAAACAAGATGCAAAGGAATGAATCTAAACAACTCATTCAGTTCAAATCCAAGCAACCAACTCTCTAAATACACATGTATGATAACTCATCAATAACAAGGCATTTAGGCAAATTTTAATGACCATTTAAGAAACACTATGATTAAATGTCAAAAACAGAGACTAGATAACTCATCTAATCACCTTAACCAGTTTAAGAATGCATCACAGGACCAGGAACAACCTATGGATTCAAAACAAGAAATAGAGCCAACATATAGATGCATTACATGACCTGGAAACTCTCCTAGACCTCTAGCAATGCCACAAGACTCAAACCAGGTTCTAGACAACTCGCCTAGACAATTCTGAACACAAACAATTTATCTAAAGCAATAACTAGTCATGAACATGCTAGAAGCTTAGAAACAATTCAAAACAGAACCACACACACAGTTTTTGTATTATGGGACAGAAACTAGGTTCAACAACTCTAGCACTTGAACCTGTCCCAAGAACAAAACCATTCACAAATAATTAAACTAGGACATTAGGTAGACATAACCATGCTACTAAACTCCTAGAACAGACCACATACAACCAGAAACAATTTAAACAATTATTAAGTATACTGGGACAGAAACTATGTTCAACAACTCTAGCAACTTTAAACTGTCCCTAAGATACTAAACACACCACTCAACACAACCAGACATAAAGACACAAGCTTTACTCAAGGGAAAGAGGTTTAGCTTACAACCAAGGAACCTGATCTGGTTCCTTGAACCTCCAAGGCACATGATTCACCTGAACTTGGCAGATTTGGATTTTGGGTTCTCTACCCAACTCCATTTTCTTGTGTGTGCTTTCCCTTCGAACCTCTCATGCTTAATACCCCTCCTTTCTTCCTGTTTACCAGGCGCCACCTTCTGGAGCACAGTGAGAGACTCCATCTTGAAAAGAACATCAGAATCACTTGTACAGATTTGGTTTGGATTTTTTGCTTGCTAAACAGCTCCAAAACCTTCTTTCTCCAAGAGATCTCTTCATTGTGAACACTAGGAAGGATGATAGACCTTGGGAAGCCTCTGGAAACGCCATGGCTGCAGTCTTCTTCCTCTTGAAGAGATTTAACAACCAACAAGACAGAAACATCTCCAATGGTTTGAAACAACAAAGAGGGTGAAGCTTGTGCTTTATTTGCGGAAGCTTTGAGTTTCAGGAGCTTGGGAGCTCTGATACCATGTGAGAATAGACATATTAGTGTGTGTGAGTGGTGTTTAGAACAGAGTGTGGTCGAAATTAAAGAGAAGTGAATGAAGAGAGTATGGGAGAATCAAAGAGACTGAAATGGAGAATAAGAGAGATTTAGGAGGAGTGATTATTGTGAGAGATTTCGTGTAAGAGAGTAAGTAACCAGAGAATAGAGAGATTAATGAGACTGGAGAATGGTGAAGAAGAAAGGGGAACTCCCCACTTTCAGCTTAATTAATTTTGATTACAAGAGAGGCTAATATATAGCCCAACTACACAACAAACTAGCTAATAAATAATTACTTGTGTAGGGAATGGATAAACAATAATATTGTGGGGAAATCAGATGGGGAAGGCTGGCTGGGACAGGCTGGGCACGTCCAGAATGGTGAGAAAGTGACTGGAGGAAGAGGCACATACAGCTTGGTGTGATAGTGACAGGTCAGTCCTTCTTCTTATGCAACACATGTGATCTTTCTTGCTTCAATTCAAACCAGATCTTTTCCCTTGACATATGCACGTGTAGAGTAGGATTTCTGGTGCTTGGNTAAGCTTCAACTCATTTCCTTGCCTTGCAAGTCAGGCTAGGTCACAGCCTTCACATTTCCTTGTAAGTCAAGTTTTCTCTATCCAGATTTTATCTTCAACCAGATTGCTTCTTCTTCTTGTCTTCTTTATTTATCTTTATCAATACTTGGATCATGAACCAGCTTCTTCTTCTGGTCATTCCCTTCTTCATTTCAACAGAGGTGAGATCCCGAAGATGGCGGAAGCATTTAGAAGAGGAGAAGGCTATAAAAGGAGAGCTAGAACAGAGCACGAGGCACACGGAAAACCTTAGAGTATATCACTAATCACATCGACCTCACTCCATAAACTTCTAATTCGCTTATAACTTTTACTTTTCATTGTTGTTCTCGATCTTGTTTACTACTTTGTATCGAATCCCATATTCAATAAAGTCCATTTTTGTCAACCGAGTTCCGATTGTATCGTTGTGTTTAAGAGCATTGTTGCCCACATCATTTGTCTTCCCTTGCTTAAACCCTTGATCACTACAAAATACTTAATGTGGATTTTAGGATCTATAAATATGACCTCATCTGCTACGGCTTGTACCATTGACTTCTCAAGACAAAACTCAGTGAGCCTTGCTAAGAAAAACTTCATCCACAAGAACATTCCCTAATCTACATTTCCATAGTCTATAAGTACCCTTGTCCAGTATGAAGTTAAGCCATCGCTGATCTTGTGTCTCCTAGCCCAATTGATAACTGGTTTTCTTGGTTTACTCTCTGAAAATAAGTAAACCAATCTAGCACAGAACCACAACACATTTTGATAAGTGAAAAGAGTAAAAACGTGTAATACCGTGCAACATGTCATTAAGGTTTCTACCTGACTATCATGAGACTAGATATCTCATTTACTATAAATAAAGTAAGACAACACATACAAGCCCCAACTAAGCACCACTGGGATATCGCTGAGAGAGTTTTGATACTTGAAAGTCACACCAGATAAAGGTATTTGGATGAGATTGCAATAATTGCATAAACATTGTGGGTTATTGTGATGCAGATTGGGCATGAGACAAGGTTGCGAGAAAATCTACAACTGGTTATTATACAGTTGTTGGGGAACTTGCTGAGTTGGAAGAGAAGAATGCAGAAAGTCATCTCTATCTCAAGTGTTAAGGGTGAGTAGAATAAAAACCGGTGAAATTGTTTGGCGGATGTACCTTTCAAAGATTTTTTTGAATCATTGAAATCTATAATTTTGCATTATGACAATCGAGCTGTGGTATACATTTATTTCAACTCAATGTTCCATGAGAAGAGAACATATTGAAGTAGGCTAACACTACATAAGGGAGAAGGTTCAAGGTAGAATTATCTTGCCAAAGTTTGTGAGAAGTCTTGATCATCTTGATGATGGTTTCACCAAAGCAACACCTTCAAAAGTATTTGATAGTCTTCACTTCAAGATGGGATTGCTGAATCTCCACCAACTAGTTTTGAGGGGGAGTTTTGAAATGAAGCAAAAAGGTACCTATGAAATTGGTTAAGGGTGTAAAAAAATAGTTCTTTCTAACTCAAAATCACTCAGAATTATTTATTTTGAAATTTGTATTTATTCCCAAATATGTGTTATGTAAACCAGAAAAAAGAATGACACAAAATATAATATTTATACTCTCTTTGAGACTCTTTCTCTCTATCCTCAGAGTGACAAAGACCAACAATCTCACCATTCTCATCTGGTTTTGCTTGATCTCAAGCTTAAACATACTCATTCCCACAATTTTTATAACATAGAGAAGGACAACAGATCTGAAACAAAGCAGAAGTTAGTGAAGCTGTAGTTAACCTTTTTATACATTAAATCGTTGTAAAACGCAAATGATGTTCAAAAGAAATGATTTCAAATCTGAGACTTTGTAGGAAAAATAAGGCTAATACATCAACATTGTGAGTGGTCGGTTAAGTAGATGCTATCAGCCATCTGGACAGTGAGTTCCTTTGACAAAAAATGATTTTATGTCCCTTCTGCTACATCCCAAGGGCTTGGTGACTTCTATTCTATAGATTCGGTAGATACCTCCGTTCAACTGTATCGAATCACTTCATAGACAATTTTGATTGGTTTGTTAACATCTTTTGTTAAAACTATATATATATATATATATATATATAAATAAACAACTAAAAAATGAAATAAATTTATAATTGTTTTGTAAAAGTCTTTATCGTAACAAGTTCACATCACTTTCTCTCGGAGGTGCTAATTTTGAAGCAGGTCCTCCACTGTTTGAATTTTACCAGACGAAGGTTGAAATTTCAGGACGCCACTAGCGAAACCAGAAGATGAATTTGTTTCTGTAGTCATGAAACTTAAGGCGGTAACGACATCACTGATTAATGGTCGAACTATTGGTTCTTCATGCAGACACATTGCCGCTACTGCTATAGCTTGGTTTAAACTTTTCTCCGCGAACTCGCCTCGAAGAAGTGGATCAGCTAGCTCCGGGAATCTATTTGGTTTTCTGAAAATCGGTTGTGCCTAAATCACAATTTTAAATACCTAAGTTAAATGAACTTCAAGAAAGGCTAAACTCGGTTAGGTTTGTATGAATTTTAAGAATGTATAGTATAAGTTAAGAGAGATTACCCAAGTAATAAGATTTTGTTCATGGCTCTGTCTGGTTGTGTCAATAACTCGTTTACCGGTTATTAGTTCCAACAACACGACTCCAAAACTATACACATCAGATTTAATCGTTAGATGACCGGTTTTCTGATACTCAGGAGCGCAATAACCATAGGTTCCCGTAACCCGGGAAGATGCATTTTGGGTGTCACCAACCGAACCAAGTTTTGCCAACCCAAAATCAGATAGTTTTACATCAAAATCTCTGTTGAGCAATACGTTCGACGATTTAAAATCTCGATATATCATCGGAGGGTTTGCCTTTTCGTGGAGATACTCGAGCCCTTTTGCAGCTCCTAAGGCTATCCTTATCCGAGTGTTCCAGTCCAATGGTTGTTGTCCAGGTGCAACATCTGCTGGTTTAACTAGATCATAAAAACCAGTCGGTTATACAAATAATTCAAATGTAATACCTAAAAATGCATGTTAAATCCGATATCTCAGTTTATACAGCAAACAAAAGAAACCTCTTAAGGGATTGACAAGAATATACATACATACCGAGGAGATGATCTTCAAGGGAACCAAGAGGCATAAACTCATAAACAAGAAGTCTTTGGTCTCCGTCAAGGCAATATCCAATAAGATTAACAAGATTGGGATGATTAAGAGTACTTAATGCAGAGATCTCTAGCAGAAACTCTCTGTTCCCTTGCAATCTATTTCGATCCAGTTGCTTCACAGCCACCACCTAAATGCAACAATCAACAAAGAATAAGCATCTCTTGTCCTTGTTTCTTAATAAAACAATGATATATTTCTTAGTTTGTTTTTACCTGTCCTGTCTTCTCCAGCTTCCCTTTGTAAACTCTCCCGAACCCTCCTTCTCCGATCAAGCACTCCTGCCTGAAACTATTTGTAGCAGCCGCTAGTTCAAGGAATCTGTAACTCTGTGCCTCGATGTTGTTCAGCGATTCTTTGCTAATTGACACCGATTCCCATGATGTTTTTTGTGCCTGATCATTCCCTGTTAACAAATTTGTTAAAATAAAAAAAAACAAGAGTTAAGTGAACCCGGAACGAGATTTTGTAATCATTATAAAAGTAAAACAAAAAGAAACCACGAAATGAGCAGACTCATATATATTAATCACGAAAGCTTACACGGAGGGTTCTGTTGTTCATAAGCAACAACCATGGATGAGGCTTCATTCTCCCTACTTTTGCTGTGTGTTGATGATGACCCCAAGAAACAACTCATTTCTACAAAATTTAAAACCTACGCTAATTCTTTGTTTTTTAGCTCTCCGAGGTCAGCGGATCACTAATTATCCCTATACACTCATTTTGTAAATGTCCTTACAAGATATCTCGCTTGTCGCTGATGGGTTTTAGAAGAGGAGCATAAAGTAAGACAAGACAACCTTCAATACTTGAAACAGGTTAATAATAGTCTCGTTTATTTTATCCTGCAGATTTCAGTAGATTTCGTTATTAAAACTAGATGATTCTTAAGAAAGGAAATATGTTTTTATGATGAAGCAAGAACGACAAAGACAACCTCAGAACAAGATGTGAGAAGGCTGTTTTCCGTTATAGAACCGCCATTGTACCCTCCTTGGTTGAGAAAGTTAATAGAACAGATAATTTTTGGTAAGATTTTCCAAAAATAAATTATTATTGTTTTTGCCAAATCCGAATTTGTTGACTTCTCCTTTTAGATTTTTCGTATTTTCTTAGAGATATCTGATAGATGCCTATATTTAAGTCGACCAACTACAGCAAACTTTGGCTTCATTAGTTGTCTAGATAAAAAAAAAATGGTGCTAATTTTGGTTTCATAAGTTTCAGGTGTATCAAACAATCATATTCTATCTCATTGGTGCATGAATACAGTTAACACAAATTTCAGTTCTTGAATCTTTTTGTAACGCTGCTAATAGTTCTTCCACGGGCGAACCGTTCGCTCGGCTTCTGGTCCCTCTCATATGTGATTGGAGGTTTATTAATTTTTTTGCAGGTCCGATATCCTTGTTATTGACCATACAGTCATCACATAACATTTCTCATGTTTAAATCACAATCGTACGATATCGCAAATCATGTCCTGAAAGGTCACTCATTATTTCACAACTCCAGTTTAGGCATGTTTAATTATAAAATTCTTTCAAGATGTGTAACTGAAAAAGTAAGTGTAATTTGGTGACATAGATAGTCAGATCAATTCTACTAAGACCATCTCCATCCATAGAAATCTCTCAAAGGTTCTTTAGATTAAATTAAGAGTTAAAATGGTGATTTGAAAGTTTAAGAACCTGGGTTAGTGATAACTAATTTTTTTACCTCCAATGGAAAAAGCTCATAAAGGTTTTTTTTAAAAAAAAAAATTTAGTAGAATGATTTAAAATAAAAACATGCATAAAACTTTTAATAAAATGACATAAATACATATTATAAATACAAATACAAATTGTGAACGAAAAAATGCGATTAGTTGAAATCTTGATTTGTTTCAAATTTTTGCCATATATTCTCACCCAAATCAGCTTTCAATTGTTGATGTATTTTTTTAGAAATTGAATTATTAAATTTAAATATTATAAAACTTATAAATTATTGGATTTCGAAAAATTTAAACAAATATGACATAAAAACACATGAAAAATAGAAATACAAATTTATAATTAGAAATTTTAAACAAACATGAAAGAAAAGCATAGTGTTTTTACATGTTTTAAACTATTAATTTTGATCATATTAGTATTTAGAAGTTGAATTTAGGTTTTATTAGATGTTGCATTTGTACATATTTCATAAATAGAAGGTTGGAAAACACAACTAAAAGTTTTAGGACAGTTTTGAGGATATTTCTTCAATAAACATAAGTTTTTGGGGTCGAACCATAGTTTATTAAAATTTCAAGGATCAAAGATGCAAATCAGAATAAATCAGCCATAGTTGTACGAGAGTTGCAGAAAGCTCGATGTTGGAAACCTAGATTCGTTGATCCGTCACGCACGAACTCAACCATGTAAGCTCAAGTTTCTGAGCAAGACGATTGAGGTGTTACACGGACAGGAGACTGTGTTACACACAAGTTGAGCTCAAGTGTGTTTGAGCGTAAAGGCTGCGGTGTCACACAACGTGGAGATCATTCAAGGATGTGAATCTGCTAAAGAAGCATGGGATACTCTTATCAATCACTTTGAGGGAAACACGAGTGTGAGAAGAACCAGAATTGATCATCTCGCTTCAAGGTTTGAGAACCTGAGAATGGAGGATGATGAATCTATAGGAAGTTTCATTTCCAAAATCAGCTCTATAGCCAATGAAGCTTCTGTCTTGGGTAAGAAGTATAATGAGAAGAAACTTGTGAAGAAAGTATTGCGATGTCTTCCTCCTAGATTTGAAGCATACAAGGCGGTTCTTAAGATTGCTGTGAATACGGACGAAATGAAGTTTGATCAGTTGGCTGGAATACTGAAGGTACACGATTTGGAAAGAAGTGAAGAGACAACTAAGGGACAGAAAGGAATTGCTTTCACAGCTGAAAACAAAGAAGAAGATAGAGTCAAGCGTATTGAAGAGAACATGAGTTTAATGGCTAAGAATTTCAACAAGATGATCAAAAGAGTTGAAAAGGGGAACTATCGCAATAACAACCGGTTTCAAGGAAGAGAAGGGGATCGTCCCTCTGGACAGCAAAACAGAAGTGAATCTGGAAGAGGAAACCGCAAGAAAGACCTAAAATGTCATGAATGTGAAGGTTTAGGTCACTTTCGGAGCGAGTGTCCTCTAGCCAAAAGAAAAGAGCTTAAGTGCATTCAGTGTGAGGGCTTTGGACATACAAGGAGTGAGTGTCCTAACAACCTGAAGAAAGATAAAGCCCTCCTGTCCTTCAGTGATACCGAATCAGAAAGCCAGAGTGATGATGAAGAATTAATGCTTACCTTTGTTGCTCGCGTGGAACAAGATGACACTCAAGACATATCTTCAAGTTCAGACTCAGATTCAGACAATGATGACGACAAGAAAGACTTGGATTTGAAGTCAGAGTTCAAGAGTCTTTTTGACAAGTTTACAGAGCTGAGGTCTTGAAAATTTGCAGCTGATCAAAGACAAAGCAATGCTTAAGGAACAAGTCAACATACTTGAACTTGACACACCAAGTGCCAGAGGAAAGACTGCAGCTGGTATCTTGGAAAGTGAGAAGAGTTCGGATATACAGCTCCTTGAAAGAACCGTCACGGATCAGGCACACTCCTTGAAGAATTTAGAGACCAAGTATGATCAAGCTATGGTGCTGCTGAATGAGGAACTTGAGAAGAGTCGCTTACTACAGAGAGAATTAAGCGACAACTACAAGAAGATGAGGATGCTCAACAATGGATCAGATACCTTGGATCACATTCTTTCACTTGGACAAAACCCTAAGATTGCCTTGGGTTTAGGGTATCAAGGATATCGAGGCTCAAGCAGCAAAGATGTAACAGATGTAAGGTTCGTTAGAAGTGGAGCTTCAGGAACAACAACTGAGGTAGAGAAAGGAGCCGTACCCCAGAAAATAGCTGAGACATCGGCGAAAAAACAGGTACCACACAGGCGCAATGGATGTCACTTTTGTGGTAAGCAAGGACACAGAGTTGCATATTGCTATTTTCGTAAAGCTCAATACCAACGAGCATGGGCACTCCACAAATGTTTCATTGAACCAAGCCGGATCGGACATGTCTGGATTGCCAAAACAGATTTGTATCCTAACTTCAAAAACAGAACACCAACTCCTGCCAAGGTGATTGAGACAGAAGTCTATCAACAAAGACCAGGAAAAGAAGTTGTGTGTAATATGGTGGTAATTGAAGAGTGTTTCGAAGAAGACAGTGTGTCATCTCCAAGTCTTGCTAAGGTTGCGTTCACCTCCACAGAAGAACACACTGTTGTTGAGATACCATGGTACTTCGATAGTGGTTGCTCAAGGCATATGACAGGAAATTAGAAGTTCTTAACAATCATGGAACCAATCAAGGAAGGAAGAGTAATATTTGGTGATGGTGGATAAGGTAGAATCCGTGTAGTTGGTCATATGGCGAGAGCGGATCTTCCAAGACTTAGAAACGTCTACTTTGTAGAAGGACTCAAATCAAACCTTATTAGCATCAGCCAGCTGTGTGACGAGGGTCTTCAAGTCATCTTCAACAACAGAGAGTGTCAAGCAGTTGATCCTCAAGGAAACCTTGTTATGTGTGGATTTCAATCAAACAACAACTGCTATTTCTAGAAGCCACCGAGTAAATGTCTGTCAGTAAGATACTCGCAGATTGACTTATGGCACAGGAAACTTGGCCACATGAATACAAATGGCCTCTCAAGACTCGTGCGTGCAGAGGTAGTTCGAGGTGGTCCTAATCTTGAAGATCATTCTGACACTGTGTGTGGTGCTTGCTGTCAAGGTAAACAAGTCAAAGTCCAACACAAACAGGTATATCAAATTCACTCTAAATCAATCCTAGAATTGATTCATATGAACCTCATGGGTCCTATCTCACCTGAAAGTATTGCTGGAAAGCAATATATTTTTGTGTTAGTTGATGATTTTTCCAGGTTTAAATGGGTGAGGTTTCTGAGAAATAAGTCGGATGCAATCGAGAGTTTCAGGATTCTCGCACTTCAACTCAAGCAAGAAAGAGGAGGAATCATCAAGATTAGAAGTGATCATGGAGGAGAATTTCAGAATGGACAGTTTGACTGGTTCTATCAAGATCAAGGAATTCAACATCAGTATGCTGCACCACGAACACCACAGCAAAATGGAGTTGGGGAACGCAAGAATCTAACACTGCAAGAGATGGCAAGAGCAATGCTAGCTGGGAATCATGTTCCATCAAAGTTCTGGGCTGAAGCCATCAACACGGCATGCTACATTATCAACCGAGTCTATGTGAAGCCTAAGACCAAAATTACACCTTATGAGATACTCCGAGGAAAAACCCCAAACCTTGGATTTTGTCATGTATTCGGGTGTCTTTGTTACATTCTAAACAACAAAGATCATCTTGGAAAGTTCGACTCAAAGAGTGATGTTGGAATGTTTCTTGGCTACTCAACAAATAGCTCAGCATACCGGGTGTACAACTCAAGGACAAGGACAATTGATGAGAAGGTGAATGTAGTCTTTGATGACCGAGTTGGCTTTTATCAAGATGGTGTTACACAGCGAAGTGTGTGTGTACCACAACTCAACAGTGAGGATGAAAACCGGGT